TCTCATTCTCTGTCATTGTGTTGCTTCACTTTCTTCTCTTCTCTGGCTTTCATTTTGCCGCTCCTCATTTCTCTCATATCTATTTCTCCCCTCCCCTCTTTGTTTTTGTCAATCTCTCTTCCTTGTCATCTTTTACTCCCTCTCCCTTTCCTTATTCCCACCCAGCTTTTCTTTGCTTTTATCATGAGAAGTAAGAAATTCAAAGAAATTCATGGCTTTGACAAGTGTTTTAAATCAATGCTATTCTTTATTGCACTGAGGCAAATCATTTATGAAGAGTGCCTTTTTTGCATCCACCCAGCCATATACTCAGAAACTTGTGGTTTGAGAATACCACTGCTCAATGCAGTGCACCGTGGTCTTATATAAACTGAAATTACTGACACCATGAACCATTTAATGGGATAAAAGTGCCGCCTTGAATGTGTCATTCTTTTCGGAATATGTTGATTGGTTCACTCAAGAACACAAAAACAGCTTAATGCTTAAAATCATTAAATTGCTCTCCTCTTGACATGACTGCAGCCACAGTTGTTCAGCTAGATGACACCACGTGAGTTTCCCTCTCAGCTTTAGGCAGAATAGACTTTTTCTAACCTGACTGAACCATCTGTCGATCACTGTCTATCATGGGCGATGTTTTCCATCGAGAAAAGCCTTCAGTGCCCTTATTTGCACTTCTCTCAATGAAGAAATACTCTCCAGTTCTAATATTAACTAGAACTACCCGCCCCTGTAGCTGCCAGTACTTCCTCAAAAGACTAATTGATCCAATACCACAGTAGTTGGGCCACAAACCCATAGCTTTAAGCCTGCTAGTATTCTCGTGTGAGCTCATGTTTTCGTGATCTTGCGAATCCAGCTGCCTCTCAAGGTTAGACTTTTTCAGTTTGGTGCTTAATTATTCTAAAGGGAAATTCTGGTGTATACTTTATGCTGCAACTTGGATTTTTGATTTTGTATTGTTGGCCATCATTTCTATTTCTAGTATCACTGTGTTCATTCTGTTAAGACCTGAGATCTGGACACATGGTAACACCACTAGCATGAAGTCCAATGGGGAAAAACTCATGAGCCAAGGAACAAGACTAAGCCCTAAGAAGAATAAACAAATATAAGCCTTGCAGTAAGACAGCCCTGCGTTGGTGGGGTGAGATGATGAAATATGTTCAAGGGAGTTGGAGTAACAGATTAATGCATTTAAAGGCTTATCATATGCAAAAACCCAAGTTAGGGAATCACTAAAGACAGTAGGCTTCATCCTCTGCTGATCATCAATAGCTGTTATCTACCAGTTGATTTCAAAGTAAAACTCAAGTCTTTAATCTTTTTCTTAACTTCCAGATAAGTCTGACTAAGTTTGTCGGGGTTTGTTTAAAACCTGACTGCCTGTGTTTTTGTGTGTCTTTTTAGCTATGCTGTCACACTCCCAGATTTTAGAAACTAACTTGATGAGTACAATGTTATTATTAGAATGAATAATGAAGGACAAAAATGAGAAAATAATACCCAAGTTGCTATAAACCAGAATTTCCATAACATTGTGGTATCCTCACTCAGTTTGGCTTGAGGGCGTTTGCTGTAAACTATATAGAGCTTCTTTCACAATTATCCCACCTTGACTTTGTTCATCTTGGGAAATAGTAGTAAGTAACCTTGTCAAAAGCTGTTAGACTTGTACCGAGAGCTGCAACAGAATATTCAGTCCTACTTTTCAGCAGTTATTGAAGGATAAGTTTGTAGGAATTTCCTTGATTTCTTTTGTGTTTATTCTTCTTTTGTTAGCTTATTCTCTCTCATGTGTTGGGTCTCCCTTAGTGTGTAGCCTATATTGTAATAATATACTCTGACATGTAGTGCATATGGAACACCAGATGCAAGTGAATTTATGATTATCTTGAAGGGTTAATCCTGTTTTCTGTATCCTGACACACAGGATTTTGGCACTGAGCACAGAGAAGAATCTGTGTGGGTTGGTTGTGCTGTGTGTGTGTGGGTGTGTTGTGTGGGTGTGGTGTGTGGTGGTGTGGGGTGTGTGTGTGTGTATGCATGCACATACTGGTAGTATAGGGCTGTGATCATGAGGATGATGCATCCTATCCCCATTAGTGTTAGCCTAGATCTGTCAGAGCCTCGTTGGGTTACTGCCTGGCAAAATCTCAACCCTGAGGAACAATGGGATGGGCTAAACACACACACACACACACACACACACTCACACACTCACACCCTTGTGCCTGTGTTCCCAAGACAAAACAGTGTTTCACACGCACACCCACCAGCAGTGCCTGGAAATCCTTGTCAGTACGCCCTGTCAATCTCGCATTCACGTAAGCACAAACACACACTTTCATCCTCAACCCCTGTGTAACAGACAGGAAGTGTTACGGTCTGGTTTGTTGTCTTCGCTTTATTGTAGCTCAGTTTTGATCGACATCATATTTCACACACTCAAAACTGCATTTTCGGTTGCCCTCTGTGTCCCCTCTGTCAGACAACAACAGAGACAGCTCAGTTAGCTGACGAGTTGCTTTATTTTTCCAACTCTGCTGGTGTTGTTACTGCGACCCAAGCACACCAAAGACCATCAACCCCAATAACTGATTATGCGGTGCTGGTTTCTCCTCATTATTATAGTGTTTGCTCACAGCGGAGATCAATAGAAAACTGAATGGTGTGAACTGAGACTCAGATCAGTGCCGTTGGAAGCACTGGGTGTGTTTATCATTGAGTTAATTTAACTGCATATCCAGTTTTTAGTCCAAATCAAACAATTTCCATACAACCTTGTTTACTCTGAGAAATTATTTATCAGCTTGTAGAGCTACTTTGATGTGCGTCTCCTTTTCATTGTATCTGACTCGCTAACAACACTTTAATAAGTTGTCTTATTACCTGTCGTTCAGCGGCTGTCCTTGCAGCTCCCTCTCAGCCATAGCTAAATTCAAGGCTGCCCTACATTTTCCTCGTGCTGTGGAGGCTTTGACAAGAGATAACATTTTCCCTCTGTGCTCTCCTTTATGGACTTTTAACATTGCTTCTAATTAATATCTTTTTGTCATTAATTTATTGTGACACATGGCCTCCCTCCACCCACCCAACCAGCAAGTCGGATAGATTCAAGCCCTAAAGCCCTATTTAGTCTCCGAGCACCAAACTGCAGGGAAGAGATCTGTAGACTGAAGTGTATAATCGGACGGCTCCCATGTGGTTCTCACGTCTTTTTAGCACATATTTCTGTCTTTTTTGTTTGTTTCTTTGTGTCTGTCTTTCGTTCATTCTTCCTTTCTTTCCTCCTGCCCTCCTCGTTGGTGCCAGGAGTTCAGAGCTATTATCAACATTCAGCACAACGGCTCTGAGTGCACTTTGGTTGGCTACAAAACTGCTCTTATCATTCTGTGCTACCTAGAAAGCATTACACACATTTTAGCTATTTTCTCAACGATGGGTGGTGATAAAGTGTCTCGCCATTACGTACACTCATGGGGTGGATTATTGTTCAGTCTTGGTTTCTGATGGGGTGATGATGATGATGATGATGATAGCAGTCCAGTGATGGTTGCCCTTGGTTTCTTGTGTTTGTCTGCGGAACCTCGGGTCCCTTGATAGTTCGTCAAGCCTGCAGCCTTTTCAGAAAGGAAAAGAAAAAGAAAAATGCTCCCAGGTGAACCTGTAACCTCCGAGGTGAATAAGCACATAATGACACTGTATAAATCACTAAGAATTGACACAGCGCTTGTCCTGGACCTGCAAATAAACTTTAAAATATTGGAGCAGTGTTCAAAAATCTTTATATATCCCAGCTTCATTAGACACATTTATCCATTTTATTGCGAAAAAAGTTCCTTAATGTACATTTGCACTATCATTGTAGTAATATTGATTTAATTCCTTACTTTATAACAGACACTATTTTCTCTTGTCTCCTTTTACTCTGTTGAAATACATCTTGCTATGTTAATATTATAAAGTTACATAATTCATAATAACTCTGTAGCTCAGATTTAAAGAAAGAAAAAGACAGAATTCAGAAAGAGGAAACAGACAGAAAGATGTTTTTTGCTCTGTATCATCTTTTTTTTTTTTAAATGGAAATACTTACAAATAATAGACGCCACAATTTTAAACCTTATTTTTTCATGGTTTCTTTTTTCCCCACTCAGTCTAACCCAAAGTTGGATGCAAAAAGCCACATGAGGCACTTGTTAGCTTGTCTTTTTCCATGTATGCTAAATGAATCAGTCTACTTTATCAGACGGAATAGACAGTGTATTTTCCTGAAAAAGTAAAAGAAGCAGTAAAATAAGTCGTATTTCAAGTACATGGTACAGCTGGGCTGGAACTCTACTCGCTTTTGATATCTTTAATTTGTAGTACCACTGACCAAGGTGATACCAAACATAATGGAAAACCAAAAAAGAGCGAGCAGAGTCATTTCGAGCCGTACCATGCGGTGGAGAAACGTCTATAGTTTCCATCGTGTTTCCATCTTGGGCCTCATTTTGTGTATCACATATACGTTTTTTTGCAAGGTTACTGCGTGTGTCCGTTGTGGTGTCAGTGTTGAAACAATATATTGTAACATACTTAAGCAAGGGCTACATATGATGTGGCCAATTTCTCTTTAAAAGCGAGCCAAACAGAATGGAGAAAGAGCGATGAGTTTTCCCACCACAGTGGACAGTGACTTTCCCTTTAGAGTATTTTTAAACACTCTGATGGATAAGACTTAGAGGATAGTACGTGCTGGCCAGAGAGCAGTAATAATTAATGAAGGTTTTTATAGAAAGCACAAGAGTGAAAAAGTCTTGGTCATGACTCTTACGCATGTGCTCTTATTGCTGCTTTTTTATCCTCCGCTCTGTTGTTCTGGTACATCTCTGGACTTCCTATTTCTTATTTGTTAGGTTGTTTGTACCCTTCACTCTTAAACCTCTCTCTCTCTCTCTCT